AAGACCCCGGTCAGAACTTGCTCCTTTCACTGTGATTTTTGGGAGATATCTAGAACATCCTTTCCTAGGTAGGTCTGCTTTTGGAACACAATTTTCTAGTAATCTGACTGGCTCGACGTGTTTGTCAAAAATGAAAGAAGATTGATTTAATTTGGAGTTCCATATTGTCCTGAGATAATTGGGATCAGAGTTACTTAAGGACATATCCCACTGTAACCAGAGGTTTCTAAATTCACACAGCACCACAGATAGGAGGATTCCAGCCTTCTCTGTGGGATGTGGGCCAACTGCTTGTGACTTTGAAGCTAGCTGGTATTTCATTGACATGATGTCACTGTGATCTTATTAGCATCTCAGCACAACACATAAGGTTTTATTATCGTCACTTAACAGGTTGAGTAAGTACTTGACATTCCATAATTCCTAAAAGGCAGAGATGGACTTGAATCTTTTAGTCTACTTTCTTCTTATTGTTCCCAGATTTATCAGGTCCACACTTGCACCTGTCCTTCCTGGACCCCGGGAAAGGCCCTAACATTATGTTTGTATGGTCAGGTATTTGTGTAACATTTGCAAAAATAAGGTACTGAACTGTAGTTGAAAATCACTGTCTCTTTTCATTCAGACTTTCCTCTCTGACTCGTTCACCTAAGGTGAACTTTCAAGTGGGGGGCATTTTTAGGAACCAGTCAGATACGTTTATATGCTTCATAATCACTTTCATGTTAAGTTATTGCTGGCTGTCCTTGTGCAAAACCAAAGCAAAGCAAACCAAATGAACAAAAACCATAATTTTACTAAAATAATATATACACGTGGTAATAAATCATAGAGGAGGCTTAGAGGAAAGTTAGATAATATTACAGGACTTATAATAAAAAGAAGTCTTCTCCACCCACCTGGGATAACTACTTTCAATTATTTTGGGCAATCTCTTTTGACATTTATCTCTGTATTTTTAAATGATATCCTAATGCTTCAATTTTTTACATAAAAAAAACCTGCAGGCATGTAAACCTTCCTTATATAAATTATTTTAAAATAATTTTGTTTTAGAATAGAAAAATTTGGTTTATATATTATAAATATTAAATATCATATTAAAGAGTAGAATTCAATATTTTATAATACTCTATATTTATCCACATTATCTACTGATTTCTTGTATTATTAGATAAAGCTATAGCTCTCTTAAACCTATCTACTCCTTCTCTCCCATTTTATTTTATAGTTATATTTTAATTTTTGGTTAAATCAACAAAGTGTACATGTTATATTGGGATAATATTTGCATATTAAGTTAATGTTTTTATTTTTCCCCTTAAATAATTATTCCCAACAGAAAAGCAGGCATATGTGCACCAAAAAAGTATAAGAATATTCATAGCAAAGTTATTCATAAAAGTCTCCTCCTATACCCTATCAAATAAACGTCCATTCACAGAAAAGTGGATAAATTGTAATATACTCATATAATTGAGTGCCCTACATTTATGATAGCGAATGGACTACTGTTACATGCAACATGATTGAATACAAAAAATATAAATTTTTGTATTTGTATATGTATGTTTTACTTTCATAAAAAATTATCCTAAGATATCATTTAAAAAGGATATTTATACCTCTATTAGTAAATGATATCTTGTTACCTCCCAACTTTAAAAGGTTTTGTTATGCTTACACTAACACTCATGTCTTTTTTCCTTCTCCTCTCAACTTTGTTACTTCATTCCTTTTTCATAATAGATATTTACATTAGTTTTAATTTTAGTTTTACAGTTAAGTAGACTCAATGTTTACCACCAGATTATTTTACTACAGCTTTCCTAGTTTTCTCTTAGGTAACTACAGTGCATGCTCTTATTCACAAAAAACAAAACAAACAAACAAACAAAAAAAAACCCAACCTAATATTTATTTTTAATTTTTTTTTTTTTACATTTTATTTATTTTTGATAGAGAGAGACAGAGCACAAGTCGGGGAGGGGCAGAGAGAGAGGGAGACACAGAATCTGAAGCAGGCTCCAGGCTCTGAGCTGTCCGCACAGAGCCCGACACAGGGCTTGAACTCACAAACCGCGAGATCATGACCTGAGCCGAAGTCGGACGCTTAACTGACTAAGCCACCCAGGCGCCCCTAGTATTTATTTTTGTTTGGTCATGTGTCTCCTTACTGTTACTAGCCAACCACTTGTTGTTCAATTATTCTTTCCACCATGTGTGGAATTAGAGTTATATTATTATATATACTTTTATATGTATTTATATTTATACGTTTGTATTCTTACTGTATTTTAACAGACATGTTACAGATTTTAATGTAAATAATATACATAGCAAGAATTATTATTTTTGAAAAATATTTATTTATTGTGAGAGTGAGCATGTGTGTGCATGACTGGCAGAGGGGCAGAGAGAGGTAGAGAGAGAATCCCAAGCAGGTCCCATGCACACTGCTGAGCCCAACACCGGGCTGAATCCCATGACCCTGAGATCATCACCTGAGCAGATATCAAGAGTTGGGTGCTCAACCGAGCCAACCAGACGCCCCCACACAGCAACATTAATAAACTTTTTGTAAGTCTCCCACTTACTGACCGTCTAATACTTTCCTTTTGCTAGGACTTTCCACAAACCAGTTTAAATTGCATTATCAAAAATAGAACATCTATCAAGAAAATGAAAATACAAGTCACAAATGCAGAGAAAATATTTGCAAAAGGTATTTTGCAATAGATACCTGAAAAAAGGACTATTATCCAAAATAAACAAAGAACACTTAAGACTCAACAATAGGGAAACAAACTACCTGATTAACAAAGGGGTCAAAGACCTTAGTGGACACCTCACCTCACTAGATGGCAAATAAGCATTTGCTCCAAATTATATTCCATTAGGGAAATGTAAATTAGAACAACGAGATACTACTGTGCACTTACTAGAACGGCCAGAATCCAGAACACTGACAACACAAAATGCTGGTCAGGATGTGGAGCAAAAGGAACTCTCATTTATTGCTGGTGGAAATGTAAAATGGTACAGCACTTTGGAAGGCAGTTTGGCAGTTTCTTACTAGACTAAGCATGCTCTTACTATGCAATATAGCAATCCTGCTTAGTATTTACCTAAAGGAGTTGAAAATATGTCCACACAAAAACCTGCACATGAATGTTTGCAGATTTTTTTTCTTGTAATTGACAAAACTTAGAAGCAAGTAAAATGTCTTTCAGTATGAATGGATAAACTGGAACATGCAGACAATGGAGTACTATTCAGCACTAAAGTGAAACAAAGAATTAAGCCATGAAAAGAATGCATATTACTAAGTAAAAGAAGCAAACATGAAAAGGTTGCACTCAATGATTCCAACTCCATCACATTCTGGAAAAGGCAAATAATGGAGAGTAAAAAGATCAGTGGTTTCCATGGATTAGAGGAGAGGGAGGGATGAATTGGTAGGACACAGGGTTTTTAGGGCAGTAAAACTACTCTGTATACTATGTTGGTAGAAATATATCATCACACATTTGTTCAAGCCCATAGAACGTGCAACAGCAAGAGTAATACCTAGTGTAAACGATAGACTTTGTGTCATAGTAGGTTCATCAATTTTAACATATGTACCACTCTCGTGAGGGATGTTAATAATGGGGGAGGCTATGTATGGATGATGGCATGAAGTATATGGGAAATCTCTGTACCTTCTGCTCCATTGTGCTGTGACCTAAAACTGCTCTAAAAAAAAATAAACTCTATTAAAAACAATTGAACACCTTTCTCTGTAGAGGTGTAGGATAAAATGTTCCCAAAACATAAACTAGAACATAATATCCTGAGCTTTACAAAACCAACTTTATTTAATTAGGGATAATTCCTCCCTCTCAGACTTGATGTGCTTTTTTAATAATATCAAACATTTAATTACAAACATGCTCCTTTTCAATCACTAATAAATTACCAACTTATCTCTATATAACAACTGTTGAGTATCCGACTCTTTCCAACTCTGTCTTGCTTTTTAAAGACATTTCAGGGGGGGCGCCTGGGTGGCGCAGTCGAAGCGTCCGACTTCAGCCAGGTCACGATCTCGCGGTCTGTGAGTTCGAGCCCCGCATCAGGTTCTGGGCTGATGGCTCGGAGCCTGGAGCCTGTTTCCGATTCTGTGTCTCCCTCTCTCTCTGCCCCTCCCCCGTTCATGCTCTGTCTCTCTCTGTCCCAAAAATAAATAAAAAACGTTGAAAAAAAATTAAAAAAAAAAATAAAGACATTTCAGGATGTCTTACAAAACAGAAATTCAGCATGATTATACTTTCTTCACAAAGGCTGTACAAGTTTCATATTTGTGTTGTTGTTTTTTAAATCTCACTTTAACTTAAGCTAAAAAATGAGATTTCTCTAAGAATAACAAGAATAAATAATAGTAATATGATAAGACTTGGAAAGGCTCTTTTGTCAAAACTATCAGAAATTGAAAAACTGAATGACTTTAAAGACTAGAAACAAAATTTTTTACAAGTTGGGTGGTTTCTAATTCCTGGGTTTTGACAAAGATGAGGGAGGATCTACTCAAATTACTAGTGATATACCATTATGAACAATTTTTGCTGATTCCTACATTATTTTGGCATATTACTTGAAAAGATTTCCAAGCCTTGAGTGATGTTTAGTAAAACTCCTTTTCTATCAGCTATTTATGTCAATAAGGGTTCTTTCTCAGTGCTTATATCTATAAAATGTAAAAGGAGGAAGAGAATTGATGCTAAGCCTGTCTCTTTCTGAAAATAAATCATACTTGAACATTTACCTGTGCTTACATGAACTGAGAAATGTCTCATTCAATATCATGAAATGATAATTTTCTAATACACTTTTACTTTTTAATCATTATTTGTCAAAATTCATAACATTTGTTTTGTTTAACTGTATACCGTTAATAACTGCAATAACTCCCATCAGAGGAAACAATTAATATTTATGAGACTTATGGACATAAGAAATTAAAACAAATTAAATTTTAATTCATACATTTTTTGTTGCAGAGAAATATGATAGGAATAACACAAAAAATGCTTAAGCATAATGATACTCCACTGGGATAAAATTATGTGAAAGAAGTGAAAGGCAAATAGAAGCTCAAGGGAAAAAGGAATGATGTACAATATTTCTTGTACTTCTAACAAGAGCTTATTCACATATTTTGGTGCCTATCAAAGTCTTACGATATTTAGACCTGAATGGATAATTTAAAACAGTAAGGTGAACTAAGTTTAATGTGGCTCTTGGGATGTAGTTTGCCAGACCCTGGTCTAGATCTAAGAAAGTGATGGAGAAAATGTTAATGATACAGATGAAACTTAAAAATATGTCACATCTACAGCCAGTACATTGTGAACAGAAAAAAAGAAGGAGGAGGAGGAAGAGGAGAAGAAGAAAAACCCCTACTCTTCCAGTATTCCAAAACTATGATCCAATTCCACAAAGAAGTCACACAATGGTTGGATGTGGGAGGTTCCAACACATCTTCATTGTTTCACTTGCATCCAACTTGTTAATATCAACATTCTTGTTGGAATTACACTTGGGGAGCCAGGTGTTATGCCTTTATCAGCGGCACCCGTTGGTGAACTCTAAGTGTGTGATTCCTTGTTCAGTCCATCTTCTTTTTGTTTCTCAAAACCAAATCTGGTCTTGGGGAAGCATCTGCCACCGGCCTGTGCATTTGACTCCTGCTACTGTTCACGAAGGATCAGGTGTCACACTTCAGGATGTGTCCCTCAACGTGGGGAAACACACCTTGGTAGGCTGTTCTGAAATGTGCCTGCAAATGCATCCTCTCTGCTTCTTCGCGCAGGCTCTACTGCTTGAGGCTCCATGGTTTTGTTTCTGTTGTTTCATCCGGACTGAATAATCTTTGCCTTTTAATCCAAGCACTTACATTTAAAGTAAATATTGATGCATTAGGGTTTGTATATATCATCTTACCTGTGTTTTTGTTTGTCCCATCTGTTCTATGCTGTTTTCACTCTCCTTTCTTGCGCATAAAAAAAAAAAAATCAACCAAATGTTTTTTTTAATCATTTTGTTTCTCTTCTGATTAGCTTGTTAATTATACATTATTTGACTGTTCTTTTCGTGGTTAGCCTAGAGATTACAATACAACATGTATCTTGATTTGCTAGACTCTAACATAAATTTGTATTTCCACCAATGCAAGGACTATAGAACACTTTAAGTTTTTTAATTCTCTTCTTGCCTTTTGTGCTATTATTGTCATGAATTACATATAGTTCTACATATTTAATTTTTTTATTTTAAGTAAACTCTGCACCACACGTGGGGCTCAAACTCATAACCCCAAGATCAAGAGTTGCATGCTCCACTGACTGAACCAGCCAGGCTTCCCTGTACATATTTTAAACACCTCAAGATAGTAAGTTTTATATCATTAATGTTCATTATATTGATCCCTCTATTTTATGGTTTCAGTAAAAGGGTAATGCTATCCTCATAGAATGAGTTGGGAAGTATTTCTCTCTTCAGTATTCTCGAAGTGTTTGTGTGGAATTAGTATTATTTTTTTTTTATTAAATGTTTGGTTAAATTCACCAGTGAAGCCATGTAGGTCTGAAGTTTTCTTTGTAGGAAGGTTTTAAACTAGAAATTCAATCTTATTTAAGTTGTTGAATTGATTTGAATAAAGTTGTTCTTTTATTATTTTTCTTATCAATAGGTTCTGTAGTTATGTTACCTCTCATTCCTGATCATGGTAACTGGTGTTTTCTTTTTCTTCTCTTTTTAAATCAGGCTGGGTAGAGGTTTACCTTTTTTTTTTCTTCCCTGAAAGAATCAGTTCTGGTTTCATTCACTTTCTCTATTGTTTTTCTGTTTCCCATTTCATTAGTTTTGGTTTCTGTGTATTCTTTTTCTTCCTTCTACTTTCTTTGGATTTGATTTGCTCCTTTTTTTAGTTTAATTTGGATGTTAAGATCACTGACAGGACTTGAGGGGCAAGAATTCCAGGAAGAAGAGGGGTACACTCTGTACAACTTTTCCTTTCAGTGAGTTTGCTCACTGTAAATGTATCAGGTGCAAGAGCTGAAGCACAAAGCAAAGAGCAGCCCTTGAGAACCCAGGCAGCCAATCAAGTCTTTGGGCAAATCCTTCAGGCCGGTGAGAGAATTAGAGACCAGTGCCTACTAATGGGGAGAGGTCCTGGCATAGATCTCTGACTTGCAATTAGCCTCTGGAAGAAAAAATACCACAGGTGTATGGCTAAGATGGAAGTAGAAGAGTATGCTCTACTCAAGTCCAACTTCAAATCAGCTCAGCCCAGATTGGTTTAAAGTCATCTGTCCCTACTCTAATTGCCTGCCAAGTGGAGGGTAAATCTTCTCTGGAAGAAGAAAATATTTGCCGGAGCCTCAAATTGTATCTACAAATTTCATATATAAAATCGGGCATTCAATCAAAGGATTACCATGCACACCATGAGATAAAACCAACTGACCAAAACCAAGGAGTACGACAGACTTTAGAACAGGCTCACACATGATATGGATATTGGAGTTATCAGGCATGACTTTAACTATGATTAATATGTTCTAGAAAATATAGGACAAAAGGGAGACTTTCACCAGAGAACTAGAATCAATGATAATGAAAAGAGAGAATCAAATGTAAATTCTCAAATGGATACACATAAATTGCTGAAGTTAAAACGTTCAACAGGAATTAAAAAATGAATAGACAAGAAGAGGATTAGTTAACTAAAAGACACATCATCATTAAAAGAGATCCTGAGTGGAGAGAGGAAAGAAGGATGGTTTCATGGGTGTATGCAAATGTTAAAATTTATCAAATTGCACATTAATAATGCAATTTATTGAATGCCAGTTATTTCTTAATGGAGGTATCTCACCTATAATGGAGTAAAAATTAAAGTGGCATCAGATTTATTTTCAGTAAAATCATTTTCTAGACTAGGGCAATACTTGGGGCACCTGTTCTGATAGCATGGAGCCTGCTTGAGATTCTCCCTCTCTCTGCCTCTCCCCCTGCTTGCCTGCACACGCACCTTCTCTTTCTCTCTCAAAATAAACAAATAAACTTCAAAAAAAAAAAAAAGATTTAGAATAGAGCAATACTTTAAAAGTCCTCAGAAGAAAGAATTACCTTTGTTCTAGAAATCTATGCTCAGCTAAACTTGCAATCAAGTAATTAAATAGATCAATGGCTATTTTCAGACATGTAAGTCTCAAGGTATTTGTATCCCATGCATATTTTCTAAGAAACAAAACAACCTAAGAATGTATTCAAGTTAAACAAAAAAAAATATGAGAAAGACTGAAGCCTCAAGAAAATGATGTGTACCTATGAGTGTGATAAAAAAAAAAAAAAATCCCAGGTGACCAATAAGCAGCAAGCTTTGAAAGGACCAAGCCCCAGCTGGACCCCAGCAAGCTACCTTCAAAGAAGAAAGTAGATTTTTATCAAGAAGTTAGTATAGTGAAAAAGATGTACTTTTTAATGTTATGGTAAATGTAATACTGTGTATGTTAGAAATAATGCATATATTGATAAGGAAAAAAGGCAATTAAAAGCCTAGAAAGGGCACTCTACAGAAAATGTGAAGCAATTAAAATATAGCATACTTTTCTCCAAGTATAAGAAAGATAATTCACTTGACATGATACTTGGAACATTCTCCCTCAAGAGTTAGTGGCATATGGGAATGCAAGCTGGTGCAGCCACTCTGGAAAAGAGTGTGGGGGTTCCTCAAAAAGTTAAAAATAGAACTACCCTACAGCCCAGCAATTGTACTACTAGGCATTTATCCAAGGGATACAGGTGTGCTGTTTTGAAGGGACACATGCACCCCCATGTTTATAGCAGCACTATGAACAATAGCCAAAGTATGGAAAGAGCCCAAATGTCCATTGATGGATGAATGGATAAAGAAAATGTGGTATATATGTACAATGGAGTATTACTCGGCAATCAAAAAGAATGAAATCTTGCCATTTGCAACTACGTGGATGGAACTGGAGGGTATTTTGCTAAGTGAAATTAGTCAGAGAAAGACAAAAATCATGACTTCACTCATATGAGGACTTTAAGAGACAAAACAGATGAACATAAGGGAAGGGAAACAAAAATAATATAAAAACAGGGAGGGGACAAAACAGAAGAGACTCTTAAATACGGAGAACAAACAGAGGGTTGCTGGAGGGGTTGTGGGAGGGGGGATGTGCTAAATAGGTAAGAGGCACTAAGGAATCTACTCCTGAAATCATTGTTGCACTATATACTAACTAATTTGGATGTAAATTTAAAAAAATAAAATAAAATAAAGAGTGGCATAGAATTATGTTTCCTTTTCTGAGGGTCCATTAATACTATTTTACTCCGTAGTTCACAACATTTAGAGTCCTAAAAATTCAACCGACTGCTATTTTTTCTAGGTTTTAGAATACACTTACAAACAAACCAACGAACCAAAACAAAACAAAAAACAAAAACAAAACACCCAGACACTTCACTGCAGTTACAAAGAATACAAATGCCTTAAATCTCAGAGCTGTGAAAATACTGGGATGCTAGCAGATGTGGCAGGGCAACATAGAAAATAGAAAAAAGAAACGAAAAATTGAGGAAAAAGGGGTCAGAATTGTAGATATCTTTATTTTCTTACTTTACAAAGCAGTGAATCAAAATATATATAGTCTAAATTGGACAGGAAATATATTAAAGTTGAAAAAATAACCAGTAGAAGAAATAAATTAATAATAAAACTATCAGCCTCATGTTTTAAGATGGAAGAATAAAGAAATCTCTGACTCTGTTATGGACTGAATGTTTGTGTCCCCCACTCGATTCATATGTTCACGCCCATTCCTCCGGTGCAATGGAATTAGCAGATAGGGTCTTTGGGAGGAAATTGGGGTGAGTGGAAGCCCTATAAATGCAGTAACTGCCCCCGTAAGAGTTAGAGGTTGCTTCCTCTCTCTGCAGTCTACCATGCAAGAACCTAGTGAGAAGTCAGCTGTCTGCAGACTCGAAGAAGGCTCTCACGGGAACCCAACCACGACCTCAGACTTCTAGCCTCCAGAACTGTGTGAATAAATTTCTGATATTTATAAGTCACCTAGTTTATGGCATATTGTTATAGCAGCTGGAGCTAAGACAGAACCTGTTTTTCTAAAACCAATCAGAAATAACAAGGATACAAATGAAATAAAAAGTCTGTCTAGGAGGAATGGGGCAACACTTATAACCTGAACCTTATTATTTATAAAGAAAGGCTGCCAAGTACAGTGAAAATTAGGTCAAAGAAAGGGTGCCAAGAGACGACACCCATGGCGGCAGATCTCAAGCAGAGTCAACAAGGCACAGTGCTCCAAGTTAGTAGCATACCCTGAGGAGCAGAAGCAATAGTTGCTTGTCTAAAGGAAGGCTGAGGTTTGCAAACTGGTTCTAGAATTCTCCATGACTCCCTTTGAAACCACACAGACATGACATTTTTGCAGGAAAAATTTCTGAAAGTAGGGAAACTAAGGTGAATGGATGGCATTGCAACTACCAATTCTACTCAATTAATATTTTGTAAAGGCTCTCCCCCAGTTCACCTCTCTGCACTGCACACCTGCTGAGTTCTGTGGCTCGAGTTATGCAGATTTTTGTGTTACGGGGGCCGCCCCCCATCAACTTTGTAGCTATTCAAAACGGTTGGTGCTGATCTGGCTGCATTTCAGGGATGAGACAAGCTCAGGTTCTCCATGCTGCTTGCCATCTTGAATTCTCCTATAAAGGCTCAACCCACACTCACAATACATTCCACTAGACCTTACATATGTAGGGCTTTATTGTAAGTTAGGACTTGCTGGCCCAGAGGTTGTTCAAAGCCTCTGACACCTCTCTCACATTTTCTTTCCCCATATAGGTGGTTCCGAAAGGACTCTGCATTCAACAATGAGAGTGACATAAAAGGAACTATGTATGGTTTCACAACCATATGAATATGTTAAAAAATAT